TGTCCAGCCCTGGAGTCTATGTGCCGGGGCTCAGCCCCGGACGGCCCCGGCCCAATTTAAACCCTGATCATATCTACTTTTGATTTATCCATCCATCAGATTGCGCGTTTTTGTGACATCCTCATTATACTGTTAATTCCATGTTCATGACTGCACCGAGATTCCCTCTGCATCACGGAAATCATACAGCCTTAACTTATAACTTGTTATAAATGCGACACACCTTTATCTGCACGGAGGGATGGTGTCCACGAATATGATCAAACATGTTGGATGAATTGCCTGCTTTTGCAGCCACTTTATGTCTACATTTTTTGCAAATTAGATCCATCCTCAAGAACAACCCCGTGTTCGTTATTTTATATCTGAAGTATTCTCATACTGCAGATTTTAACTTTTTTTCCGGCCGAGATGGAGATTAAATATAATCTCTGTCTCTGTCATTTTCTCCACTGTATGTGCGTGTAAGCAGCCAAGTGAATGCAGAGTGAAGCAGCCGAGCGGAAATAAGTTGCATATGCGCGGGTGAAATTTTTTTTTTCATACATTTTTTTTTAAACCGTTGATATGCAAATGTTTACGGTATGATAACCGTGCACGTTCAAACCGCGATAAACCGTCAAAACGGTATATCGTTACAATCCTATTTCCTACCGTAAATATATCAAAACTTCATTTTTGATTAGTAATATGCATTGCTAAGAATTTCATTTGAACAACTTTAAAGATGATTTTCTCAATATTTAGATTTTTTTGCACCCTCAGATTCCAGATTTTCAAATAGTTGTATCTGAACCAAATATTGTCCTATCCTGTCCTTACCCATACATCAATGGAAAGCTTATTTATTCAGCTTTCAGATGATGTATAAATCTCAATTTAAAAAAATTGACCCTTATGACTGGTTTTGTGGTCCAGGGTCACATTTTTACTCTTTCCCTGAGCCATGCTTCACTGACACTAAAGTTTTTGATGACTGGACAAAGATTGTATGGTTTGCTTGATGCTACATTATTAAAAAAAGAAAGACTGATCAAGCAGGTTCTGTTCAGAGTGTAAGTTGGCTCTGTTTACTCTGAGTAAACTCAACTGGGTGAGTCGTTTATTGTCATATGAGATGTTAACGTGAAGTGTGGAAATTGTTAACTGACATGCGAGATGTTGTATGCATGAGAATGTGTTGTGTGTGAGGTTACAGACAGCAGGAAGCTCCAGACCTGTTCCAATGGCTGTGCATTGAGGAGCTCAGACTGTGCTGCCCACCTGGACACTACGGGCCTGAATGCACAGGTGATCACACACACACACATTTTTTATATTAAAGCATCCAATAATGATATGAAACATGGATATTTTAAAGCATATAAAGTGAATGAACTTGTCTTCAACAGCTCACAGTTTCACATAAACAATGAGAAACCATAAATACGTTGATCTTGCCCCTTCATTCACACACGTGAAAATCACCGGCTCATCAGTCTTTCTGTGCTGATTGTTCTGTGTGTGTGTGCAGAGTGTCCGTCAGGTCCTGGAGGAGTGTGTGGAGGTCTGGGCCGCTGCGAGGGCGAGGGCACACGTCTGGGAGACGGAGACTGTGTTTGTGACCCGGGATACTCGGGCGTCCTGTGTCAGGACTGTGCCCACGGATACTACAGAGAAAAGAGCTCCAACCACACACAGCCACCCTGCTCAGGTAACCGTTCTCAGGAGCCTATGGGAAACACGATGCAGAAACATCTGATCACTTGTGTGATTTGTCAATTCTCTATATGTGATGTACACTCGTACTTGCTGATAAACTTCCACTTTAACTGGAGCGAGACTTGACTGATAATGCAGGTTCATGCGAGGAAGAGTTGCAAAGAAAGAGTTGTTGCAAAAGAATCACTGCTAAAAATCTGCTGCAGAGCTAAAATGGATCAGAAGAAGAAAGAAATGAATGTAGTAAATGTCCCAAGCATTGAATTTCAGTTGACCTGCTCAGGCAACGTCATATATATGAGGATACTGACTGTAAGTTCAACTGTTTTTTTCCTGTTGTACGTAGCTTGCCATCATTCCTGTAAAAAGTGCACAGGGCCACAAGACAACAAGTGTCTGGACTGTAAGCCTGGATGGATCCTTCACAGCAACAAGTGTGTCGGTGAGTTACAGGCTCAGGACATCTCTCACGGTGTGCAATGTCAGATTCAGAGGTAGTCTGAAGTCATATTTGCCTCTGGGTTTTTCCTACTCAAACTATCCAACACTGACTTAAAGCAAGAGATGAAACATCTGTAGTTAATTACTCACTTTTATGTTGTTCCAAACCCATATGAGCTTCTGTGTGGAACACAAATGGAGATTTACAACACAAGCACACAGTGACCAGAGACTGTCAGGCTAAATCTAGAGATATTAAGTAGGGCTGCACGATTAATCAGAATAAAAACAAAATCGTAATATGGCTTATGAATTCGCAAATGCGCTGTTTCAGAGTGAAGCGCAACGCTGTGTTAATTTTCTCCTGAGCAGCTCATGGTGTTTTTCAGTGTCTCAGAGCAACTCGATTCACAGTAAATGCTGTGAACTCCATCTCTGCATCTGCTCTGCGTTTGAGTCGCTTTAATGTGCTTTTAGAAATGCAACATGCGGCAACCATCTTCTCGTACATGTAATGAGAAGCGCTTGTCAACAAAAGTCAAAAATCTGTAAGGGCTTCCTGTGGTTTTCCTTCAAAATAAAAGTTAGATGTTATAATAATGTTTGAAAATGAAGACAGCAAATGTTAGAATTGTAATGTTACAGTTGTAATGTAAAATTATTTTTTACTTAAATACCCAATTTGTATCTTATATAAAAATATGACAATATTAAAGGTGCAGGGTGTAATATTTTGGAGGATCTATTGACAGGAATGCAATATAAACAACTATGTTTTCAGAGGTGTATGAAGACCTTACCTAATGAGGTTTTTATTACCTTACCATGTACAATTTCTATCTACATACACTCACCACCATGTTTCTACAGTAGCCCTAAATGGACAAACTGCTCTACAGAGATGTTGTTGCGAATAAAACACTGACACAATGATGAACAATTCCTTAATTTCCCTTTGTAAAGAAACCTAATTCTCTGCTGTCTCAGACGACGACATCTTTGTCCTGTGTCAGCCACTATATATTCTCTATGTGCAATTCGCAACCTCACTGCTAGATGCCGCTTAAATGTACACACTGCACCTTTAATATTTATTTTTCTCCTTCTTCTTCTTCTTATTTTATAGTCAAAATAAATATAACCACAACATTTTGTCCAAGTTGTGGCAATAGTTCTATGCAAACAAGCATAGAAAACCAGGAATTTTTTAAAACTGCATTTGCAATTTTTATCTGAAAAATCACAATTAGATTTTTTTTCATGAAATTGTGCAGCCCTACTAAGTGCCGTAAAAGTAGACCATGTGACTTGTAAGCTGTAGTATTCCTGTGAAGGCAGTGTGAAGAACAGATCAATACTGAAGGTTTTCTTTCTTTAGAAATTTTTATCTCTGGAAAACATGGCGTGTGAATAGTGTGAATATGTTTATGATACTATTGTGAGCATAGAAGAGATAAGTTTTCAGACAACATTATGCTGATTATTATTATTTTCAGCTGCAACAAGATGTTTCTAGTAGGCTTGCCGCGATAGACGGTGCTGACGGTGATACCGTTGTTAAGCCGCAACACCGGTTACGTCACTTGCCCACCACAGCACTGACCCCCACCGTCATTTAGATTTTTTATAGTAATAAAAATCATTTAGTTCAGTAAAAGAACAGACACTACAATTAAAAACTGAACGTGGCTGCTCAATGCAGCGTGCCGAACGACAGTTGCATCACAGATCAGATTTAATTTCTCCAGTGAGGAGAGTGAGTCCAGCTGACTGACAAGAAGAGTGAGGTGAGACCGGAGACAGACAAGACGATGGCGGATTATTTAGTTTCGAAATGAAATGCAAAAGCGCCTGTTTGGCAGTATTTTGGATTTTGAAAAGCCTGTTGATTTTGCCGTTTATCTAAGGTGATTTTGGAAGTTTTTTTAAACATTTGTTTCTTATTTAATTGATTCCACAGTGTTTGCTGATTTTTACTTTATTTAAACTTTGTGTCATTTATTTTATTTGACATCAAGGTGTATGCCGTGCCTCCAAGCTTTCTTATTCGTTTTGCTAATAAACGTTCTACGTTTCTTATTTATTTGGTTATATATTATGCATGTTTACTCATTTCCAGTTTTATATACCTATTTAAACTTTATGTAAGTTATTTGTTATTTTATATTAGGCATAGCCTGCCCTATAGCATGGTGTATTTTTATTCGTTTTGTTAATAAAAGTTCTATGCTTTACATATAAGCTAAAGTGAGTTTGACATTGTATTTTGTTGTTGCATTCAAGCAATTGATGCCGAATTGCCGCTAATTGAAAGTAAAATGCGCACGGCGCTTTTAAGCTATTTAAAAGCAAAGGAAAGCGAGGAAAAGAGGGAAAATTCAAACAAACTAAAAACAAACAATTGCTTTAATTGCTGCTATTTGAAAGTGAAAGTAAAATGTGCAGGCTGCTTTTACAAGCTATTTGAAAGTGAGGAAAAGAGGGAACACCCCTGCCCCCACGGTGATACTGGTATTATCGGTGTTGTCACACGTCGATTAACCGGTGGGAAAATTTCCTCAGCGTCACAACCTTCTATATGACCCCTGTTCTTCCCTCTGTCGTCAGTTAACTGCAGTATTCCCAGCTCTTTATCACTGTGTGTGTGTGTGTCTACTGCAGATGTGGATGAATGCGGCACTGAATTGGCTCGCTGTCCATCCAACACGTACTGCTTCAACACAGACGGCTCTTATGAGTGCAGAGGTCAGTCTCACGCTAATGCTCACTAATGCATGCTGTGTGTTTGAGTGTGCACTCATATAGCTGTGTGCAGGCTGTGATCAGGCATGTGTGGGCTGCATGGGAAGCGGACCTGCTCGCTGTAAGAAATGTGCTCGAGGGTTCAGACTCACTGGAGCAAAGTGTCTAGGTAAGTGGATCATTTCTGGACACCTTCTATGAACCTTACATTAGCCCTGGTACATTTGATGCCTGTGAGATGGCTGTTGATATGATGTTTGATCAGAGTCTCTCACTGCCTTTCTCAGACATTGACGAGTGTTCGGAGAGAGCCATCGCATGCCCTGGACTCAATGAAGCTTGTATTAATGAGGAGGGATCGTTCCGCTGCGAGTGTGCCGAGGGCTTCATTCGACGGGACAGCATTTGTGTGGAGAATCTGCCACCGAGTGAGTAAACACATGCTCAAGCCCAACGCTTCCACGCTAAAAGTGTATACTTGTGATGGGGAAGTGCTATTTAGTAGGGATGTAACGATATTAAAATTTCACAATACGATATTATTGCGGTATTTAGAAAGAAAAAAAAAAGAGATAACGTAAGAAAAGTAGTTTAAATGTTTTGCCACTTGCTTGAGCAACTTAATATATAAATCTAGAAGTAAATGCAAAAGTAAAAAGCATTGAATAATGTGTTGCTTATATTTATTGTGTTTAAACATGTCTGTTAAAGATTGTATTACTGTACTGTGTAAAAAAGGAATTGCAGTGCTGAAAAAGCATTTTCAGTGACTGTTTGGATTTGAAATCAAACTAATGGATAAATGTTGTGTTTGTGGTAAACACGGATCAGTAGTGGACTCCTGTGTGAAAGCTGCTTCTCTCACAAGAGTCACCTAAGAGGAGAATTCCCCCCATTTTCAAAAATGAAATTCAGGCCCTGAATAAATGTCTAAAAATCCTGATTGGAGTATTACTATAAATAGTTATAAATGATAAAAAGAAGGCTTTAAAAAGATTGGTATTGGTGATCGGTATCGGCAGATACTGCTTTCTGTGATCGGTGATCGGCCTCAAAAATCCTGTTCGGAGCACCCCTACTTGAAAGAGATATTTTGAATTTGGACTGCGTTTAAACCACTAGCTGTCAGCAATTCATACTGCACTTTAAGCTTATTTTGACAGAAACAGCAGTAGAGCTTTTATTTTGAAGGAAACTCCAGCTTCAGTGAAAACAGGCTTACAGAAACACATCTCACTACAAATCTAGTGAAATGCTGTAATCATCAGCTGCGAAAATAAAGCGTAACTGGTGGCTGTTTCATTCCCATTTCATCTATAAAAGGAAGATACAGCTTTACAATTCTCTCCAAAAACAGCGGAGCTCCTGGGGACGTGTCGTGGGCGGAGCTAAAGAGTGACGAGCACTTAAGCGCTGATTGCCAACAAAACACAGACATTTGATGCCGTTTCACTTACCATCTGCAGTTCTGAATCATGACCGGGATCTTTTATAGCTGGGACCGCTCCATCCTTCAGTATCAAATGATGTGCAAATCCAGCGCTGAACTGGGCCTTGTTTATAAAACGTTCGTCAACAAACACACTTGCGAAACTCCGTTGCTTCCCTGGAAAACAAACTGCATCCACTGTTCATGTAACGCTGGGTTCTTTGGGAAGCTGAACAAGGTTATCTTTCTCTTACGCCGCATAGGCCGTCGCCGGCAATGGGGGATCCGTGGAGCGCTTAAAAGGTGGTTCGTGGCAGGCCGTCCGTGGGACGCTGCGTGCCGTCCCCTAGACGATTTTTCCCGCCCCCGATGACCGCGGGGTGCCCGAGGGGAGGCAGGAGGCATCGGTTCAGACCCGCGGAACGGCGACGAAGCGGCCCTCCGGTTCTGCGCCTTTTGTCGCAATCTGGGGGTCGGCCACAGGGTGGCAGCCTCCTGGACGCAGACCTCCTATGTGGGGCACATCAAATAGGTTGCGGCTGGGCATCCAGGGACAGCCTAAACCTCCCCCTGACAGCCTACGTGGCCGATTACTTCTCATTGGCCCTCTGGCCGTCCGGGCACCACCTCCAGGCCCTGCCCACTGACCACGAGCAGCCTATTCGTCCCCCTGACTGCCTATACGACCACGAACGGCCAAGGTGTCACTTGACCACCTGTAACTTATTTGACGGGACCTACACAGGCTGTCCATTGACAACGAATTTCTAAGTCATAATTTATGATTATAATGATTTTATAACGTATAAACTTGGCCCGACAGGTTAATGTACATCACAACTCATCAATGTTCATAATTAGCTCAAAAAAGGTCTGTCCACGGAAAGCCTGTGTAATAATGTGTCCCGTCAAATAAGTTGCAGGTGGGATGGTCCTACTTGATCAGTCCACTTTTGTGGTCAAACATTAAAGAATCCACTAATAAACATATTTAGGTGGCTCCTCACCTCCTCCTGAAGCACCTAGAGGTGTTAAATCCTCTGAATTCTACTGACCACGAACAGCTTATTTTTTATAATGGGATAGATTGTTTCTCCAATCTTCTTGAAATTCACCACATGAGTAGGGCATGTCCAGACTAGCACAGGAACGCGTGTTTCAGCTTGATATCATGTCCAGAAGCGGAGATCTGGACATCCCACCTACAATCTATCCCATTATAAAAAATAAGCTGTTCGTGGTCAGTGGAATTCTGAGGATTTAACACCTCTAGGTGCTTCAGGAGGAGGTGAGGATCAACCTAAATAGGTTTATTAGTGGATTCTTTGATGATTGACCACAAAAATGGACTGAACACGAAGGACCTTCCCACGTGTAACTTATTTGACTTGACCTACACAGGTGTTCCGTGGACGATACAGTAATAGGTCATATTTAATAGCTACATTTATTTCATTGAGTAATACCTGCAGTATAGTGCTCAGGGAACACCACCCAGCAGTTTCATGTACATTAGAGCTCATGAAATGGCTTAATTTGCATAAAAATGCATTGTCCACGGAAAGCCTACGTAGGTCCCGTCAAATAAGTTTCACGTGTCACTTGACCACCTGTAACTTATTTGATGGGAGCTACGCAGGCTGTCTGTGGACAATGCATTTCTTAGTCATAATTTACGATTGTAATGATTTTATATTGTAAAACATGCAGTAGAGTACACAGGAAACACTGCCTGACATGTCAATGTACATTACAACTCATCAATATTCATAATTAGCTTTAAAAAGTTGTCTGTGTCACTTGACCACCTGTAACTTATTTGATGGGACCTACGCTGTCCGTGGACGATACAGTAATGGGTCATATTTCATAACTATGATGATTTTATTGAGTAAAACCTACAGTACAGTGCTCAGGAAACACCATCCAGCAGTTTCATGTACATTAGAGCTCATAAAATGGCTTAATCTGCGTAAAAATGCACTGTCCAAGGAAAGCCTATCTGGGTCGCGTCAAATAAGTTGCACGTGGGCACTTCCTGTTTGACTTGGTCAAAAAAGCCTTTAATTTGGTGCAAAAACTGGGGGCTTCAAATGCTCGTTCCTCACGCCCTCACACACTGCATGCCAAGCTGGAAAAGAGTGAATTCCAAGTCTCAAATGTTGCACAGAAACCATTCTAAATTTGATCTTACAATCATCTCTTAAATATGCGTACATGTGATTCATAGAATGAACGTATGCACAGAAAACACAAGTATGCCTCACTTTCAGATGTGAAATCTATGAACCGCAAATGAACTTGAACTTGCACGCAACTGAATGGTTTTTAGCTCTCTGCCTTGTAAACGACCCCTAATTAATGTCAATGACATTCTCTATTAAAAGACCTTCAAAATTATATATGATTTGTTGGAATTGGATTAAAAATGACTGAGCTACACCCGTTTGAAGTCGACGAAGTCAGCAAACTCAATTCTGAGAAAAATTAAGTTGAAGTTTTCTGAAGGTTCCAAAGCAAAATCACCTAGCTACGTTACATCGTTTCCACCACTTCCTTTCTTAATATTAATTACTATACTGATCATCTCAATATAGCCATTTTCTATTTTATCCTTGTTATTAAAAATAAGAACAGATGCAAAAAAAAAAAAGAAATATAAGAAAGAAACAAATAGGCATAGTGCATTACTTTTTCATTTTATGGGGTTGGTGTTAAAGAATTGTGTTATAATAACCGCTACAAATACAACTCATTATATACACTATAAACACTTTAAATGAGACAGACATGTAGATGTTTCTGAAAGATGTTTTCTCTGTTTTGGAGGGATGAGTATTTTAAAATCATACCCTATAGACCAATTTCAGTGTTTGCAAACAGTGATGACGTTTTTGTGGGCGAAGCCTATCTGGTGGCAGAAAATGACAGTTTTAACGTAGCAGTCTATTCAAACCATGGAATAAAAGAATAAATAATTTAATTTTGAATTTATATTTCAAAATTCTGACTTTTTTCTTGCAATTCCGAGATTATATCTTACAATTCTGGCAAGAAAAATCAACTCGTCATTCTTTCTTTTTAGTTTATAATCCCACACTTCTGGCTTGTTTTCCTCAGAATGGACAAACTCGCAATTGTTGACTTGAATAAAGTTATAAAGTCCGAACTAGGAGATATAAACTTGCATTAGCAAGATACAATATGTCCCCTATGTGAATATTATATAGACCTATTGTTTAAATCAAATTTATGCTTTAAAAGTAGGGTAATCATAGCAGGTTTCATCCATAGTCTGTCCGTTTAAACGTCTGCGTTTAGCTTCAAATGGCATCTTTGACGACAGTATTATATAAAAATTATTTGCATTCCGATTCTGACATCCACAGGCACAGCAATACATTTTTTCTCTTATTCCATGGATTTTACCCGTTTCCCTCCACTTATTCCCAGTGTTTTTCTGCCACCACTATGCGCGCGCAGCTGCAAGTCACGTAACTGACGTCTGCTCCAAATTGGTCTATTTATTGCATCAAAATTTGTTAATACTTTACTATATTTAAGGGTGGATAATTTAACTGGTGGTTAATTTGTGAAAATGTAACTATACTGAATGACATAGCATAGACTTCTTCATGGCTAGTTTTTGCGTATTTCATTTCATTCTGTAACTACATTCTACAGATCTGTGTGTACTGGTGTTAAATGCTACTGTTTTTGACAGCATTGATAACGTTTATGAAAGATAATATGATAATTTTTGCGTTTCCCTGTCCATGGGCTTTTTTGATTGCTTTCCGGCGATGCAGTGTTGCCAGATATTGACACTAAAACTAACAAAAAAATAAAAATAAATAAAAATAAACCGAAATTATTTCCAATCTTTTGCAAATAAGATAAGATAAAGATATCGCTGACTCTAAACTGCAACTTCCTACTTTATTAACTTTCTAAAGTGTTAAATGAAGTGGAAAAGACAAGTCCAAAAATGCTTATAATAGCTGGGTCTGAGCCACGCCCGTGCCCTCACTCACAGCTCTCTCAAGCCTCGTTCATTTTCATACCAGAGACGCTAAACATTCTTGCAAACTGTCTAAACTGAATTATACGTGTAATGCAGGCATTCATATAAGGAGTTTAACAGCAAATTAGTCAAGAACAAAATTAATTTTTGAACATGAAAAATTTACCGAGCTCCGGACCTCGGTGACCTCATAGCTGGTTACGGGCCTGCCACTTACCACTAAGAGTTCTCCTAAATAGCAGTAAAAGCTTTTAGCTAAGAGTTTTCTCTTGAAACCTATTCACAAAGCTGCTGAGACAAACTTGTACTAAGGAACAGAGAGAAGTCTTAAGCTCAGAGTAAGGGGGCGGGGTTCACCTCGTTGCTATGGATGATGTCAGCATGATTATTAACTATGCACACAGTGATTGGCTGATAGTCTCTGTCAGAGATTTATTCATAGAAATATTGTAGAGTGCAATGTTATGTTGCCATATTCAAGTAAAGGTTCAAAAATAAAAATGTTGCCACATTCACATAAATATTTTAAAATGCAGGCTAAGTGTCACTAATTAAACAAGTATATGTCCAGCTAATTGTCAGCCTCTTACATGTGTGCTTCTCATAATTAGTGAATATGCATATAAACAGCCTTTTAATTAACGGAGTAGAATAATCATGGCTGATAGTAAGACATGCAAACGTAAAAGAAAACCAAACTGGATGCAAGAAGAGCTGTTACTTCTTGCCCAGCTGCTTAATGATAACGAGGATATAATCAAAGGAAAATCTGGAGTTGGGGTAACCTCCAAAACCAAAGGTGATACCTTTTTAAAAGCTCATTATCCTCAGATGTTTCTAAAATGTTTGTGTTCAGAGACAGATTGCCAGCAACAGCTATTTTAGGATAGTTTGTGGCTTGGTCTTAGTGACTCAGGACTCCTCTTCACTGCTCCTAACCTTTCACAGATTTAGGAGCTAGTTTTAGAGCCAAAACGCTTTGTGAAATACTCTTAGAGCAAACATTTAGGAGTCCTAAATTTAGGACTGACACACCCATTATTTTTAAGATTTTCTTTTAAATCTGCGAGTTATGAGCTACTTTTAGCCTGAAGATGTTTTGTGAATACGGGCCCAGATGCACATTCTGTGCTCTTCATTTAAAATGTCATTTATTGGTCTAGAAGTGAAAAAGAGGGCAATGAATATAAAATTGTCCATTACATTCTGACTAAGAGTACTTGAAGGAAGCTCCTAATTTTGATTACGATATACACCTTTTTCTTCTCGTAAAAAATGTGGGTCTGGCTTCCACTGACACGCCCATTATTTTTAAGATTTTCTTTTAAATCTGCGAGTTATGAGCTACTTTTAGCCTGAAGATGTTTTGTGAATACGGGCCCAGATGCACATTCTGTGCTCTTCATTTAAAATGTCATTTATTGGTCTAGAAGTGAAAAAGAGGGCAATGAATATAAAATTGTCAATTACATTCTGACTAAGAGTACTTGAAGGAAGCTCCTAATTTTGATTACGATATGCACCTTTTTCTTCTCGTAAAAAATGTGGGTCTGGCTTCCGGTCTCATCCGTGTCCAGCTATTTTTAGCTGTACAAAACAGCTCGTTTTGCTGCTTGATATTGAAAATTGGTGTGTCTTACCATATTATTTTAATGCATTATCTTAATTACAAACACACTGGTTTGAAGTGCAAACAGTACTGTTTACTGCACGTTGTTATTCTTCTCATAATTTCTCTATTGCGGCTAAGGAACTGGAAGTCTTGCCCATAGGCTTACTTCTGTGTTGAAGAAAAAGGTGGATAGGGTGATTTATCCCAGTTTAGATGGTGACACATTCTGAGAAAATGAGTTCTCCTGTGCACTTACCCAGAAAGACATGCTGTGTAACCTCCTCGGTTCGTGTTTTCACAGCGGGGCCAGAGAAGGGCTTGTTTGATGACATGACGGATGACGAGGTGCTCGTGCTCCAGCAGATGTTCTTCGGCGTGGTGATCTGCGCTCTCGCTACTCTAGCCGCCAAAGGAGACATGGTCTTCACGGCCATCTTCATCGGAGGAGTGGCTGCCATGGCAGGATACTGGCTCTCAGAGAAGGGCGACCGCGTGCTGGACGGCTTTCTTAAAGGACGCTAATGGACTCCCGACAGGGTGACGCCACTGAAACGTGAAGCTCTGGGTTTGGTGAGCGCCGCGGCTCTAGGAATGCATGTCAATCAGGGACGTTTAGCACCGGGCTGGAGTGGCAATAGCAGGACTGCTGATTGAAGCTCTGTGGATGATGATGATGATGTTGAAGCTCATTTATAACACTGTGTTTCAACAGTTCAACTGCTGCTGTATTTATGAGACTCCGCACGGTTAGTAATGGATATGTCTGGCCAAACCCCAAGAGACGTACTGTATGCAACTCATTCAGGTAGAGGTACTGTACATACTGGCATTCCCACTACATTATTGTCATTTACGCCCTTTTACACATGGATACTGTGTTCCTTTTTAAAATCTGTCCCAATGCATAAGACTATTTATTTTAAAAGTGACACAAAGGATGCTCCAGAGGTCTTGTTTGAAATGCTCCCGAATGCATGAATGCAGCACCGTCACAGAAGATGTCCAGTGTGTTCGCTCTCAAACCAGGACGGTGTGATTGTGTGTGTGTGTGTGTGTGTGTGTGTGAGAGAGAGATAAAGTAGTGTTTTCAACATTAAAGGCAAAACAATTTCAACAGGGTTCCCACACTTTTTGATCAATGAATTTCCATTAACACTGGATACGTTTTTTTTTTCCTTTATATTAGTCTCTTTGATTCAGACCAGTTTGTGAGCTCGTTCAGCAGATTCTTTGAACTATCACAAGTTTTACTCTTCACAACGCAATATCTACTGAGCACAACTAGAAAATGTGTTGGCCTAATCATTATTGAGATTTTACTTATAGGATTTTGTTGAATATCACGACCAGGAAAACACTGAAACCACCATTTTAAAGCTAGCTGATTTTCTCTGGCTGTGGAACCCTGTTTTAAATATGCAACCGGTAGAATATAGTAATGAATGTGATTTACCGTTTAACTGAGTGTACTGTACCTGCAGATTCAGCACATGTGGCCTTCCAGTCATTTCTTTGACAGATGTTTAGTTTCAGCACAAGCGGCTTTAGTGCATTGATCATATCGTATGTGCATGCTTTAACTTCTGCTTTAGATGAAAATGTGGAAATATTTCATCACAGATTCTATTTGTCTTGTTTGTCATATTTATTTTTTGTCCGATGTGAATATGCTCTATAATGATAGACAGCTGAGATGTGGGCATGACTTCTGCCAGCCTTAATGTGAAGTATGTTTTGAGTTGTTTTATCACCTGTTGTTAGGTTAGAGTGGAAGACATTGATCTAATTAAAAACCTGTTTAATTGACTTGCTTTACTCATGTATACCTAGTGACACAGAACTCTACAATAGAAACCGTTTGAAACTAACTCTTTTACAGGCACACTATTTGGCATTATGAACTCCACAAAACTTTTTGTCTCGCTTTTTAAAGTTAACATGAAATCAGAATGGTGATCGATTCATCAGCGCATGCTACTGCAAAGAACGTTTTCTTAAAGGTTCATTAAAATGTAATGAGCTTCTCTTGCTCTGAAACAACTTACCGATGGGTGTCACCAAAGCCTTGTTTTTAAACTCTTTCACATTCAGTCAATTCCAGACTGATGACATGAAGCCCTGTCTACATGTCTGCCCTCAACAAATACTCAGTCGTTTCTCTTATAAGGTATATTACAAAAGGGAAACGGTTTCTCAATACCATTTCACATTGACTTTAAAACCCGTCAATTCATGAAACTTCATTAAGTCGAAGCATGTACAAAAGATAAAAAGTTCATTTATTTTTACACAATGTTAGCTAAAACAATTTTTCTTGAACTGATGAAAAACATGATGAAACAATAAGAACATCTCATGTTTTCAGAAGAAAGATCTCTGGTGAGTTACTGGCACTGACACTGATTTGCATATGCTACGGCAGACATTATGATTTATTAAAATATCCTGGAGTGTACCGAAAATCAGATTCCTAATTGCTCCTGGTTTTTCCAGAGCCAGGTGTGATAGTCGTTGAGCTTGTGGTCGTCTGGAGTGACTCCACACACACACACACACACACGTCTGGTCAGCTATCCTTGTGGGGACTCTCCATAGGCGTAATGGTTTTTATACTGTACAAACCGTATATTCTATTCCCCTACCCCTAAACCTACCCCTTACAGGAAACTTTCTGCATTTTTAGATTTTCAAAAAACTTAATTCTGTATGATTTATAAGCTTTTGTACCTGTGGGGACCACAATTTAGGTCCCCACCATGACACGAGTCCCCATGAGTCTGTGTGTAGTCAGGTTTAAGTCCCCACCAGGATATATAAACCAGTACACACACACACAGTACACACACACACACATCCAGCCGCTGCACGAGAGCATAACTCGTGTAAAGTAGTGTAGTGTTTGTACCTCTCTCCACTCCTCCACACAGAAGATACGGTACGAGTCATTGCCATATTTGCCAATGCCGTGGAGCTCGATGGGATACCGCCATGATTTACTTACATACTCATCTGACAAACAAGACAATGTCACACAATCATGAGACGTCCACTGCACCGAATAACAATCTCAACTAAATTTATATCAGTGGCATAATCATTGAGAATATATATTGTGACTGTGATATCCTCTAGCACTACATGTAAGCACCACAGTCTTTATATTGGCTGAAACTAACAGTTTATTCAGATCATTACGATGATTTTCAGCTGAACTTATGGTTTATGCAAGTCAACGGATGCTGGAACTTTGAGAGTCAAATAAGCAGGTACAGGAAACACAAAAATAATACCCGTGGCTCCTGACGATATATTGAGGTCTTATGAAGTGAAACGACTGGTCTGTGCAAGAAACTAAACATTATTACCTGTAATTCTGAAGCTGGACTCAAACTGAAAGCATAAATCTAGGCTATCCGCTGCTGTTTTCAAAGCACAATGCGAAACTGTGACATTTCATTCACTGACGCTCTTCAAGCGGCATCATTAAACCCAGCAGCGCATAGCCTATACTTACTAGCCAGCAACCCGCCAGAATAAAAGCTTGCTGATTTAAAGTTTGAAAAAAAAGTTTACTATAAAATAATTGTATTTGTATTTAATACTCCTATTTTATTTTAAAATATGATAGTATTATCACACTTTATTATTAGTTTATATAAAAAAACTAAATTAATATAATGCAATAATATCACTTTTTTTTTCTTTTTTTTTAATAGTTATATTTAATGGGTCACACTATGTGCAGTGTGAGGACCAAACCAAAAAAATACAACCTGAAAATACAACTTCCAACAGGCCTCCACTGCATTTGAATGAATAATTACTGGACTTTCTGACCACACTGCAAAACAAAGTGCTGCTCTTCCTCTGCATCTTTGTCTTTTTCTACAGTGCAAATGTCTAAAGATTCTTAAATCAAGATGCATTTACTTGAGAAGCAAAATAACATGAGTTAAGTCTTTTCTGAAAAATTGATCAAAATTAAGTGCGTTTGATTAAAATGAACAAATATCTGCCAATCAGCCCAAAAGGAAAACTAGTTTTTATTCTTCATTGGAAGATATCTGTACTCGTTTTAAGCTTAAACTCACTTCATTTTCTTCAGTGTTTCAACAATGTACATTTGCATACAAGTAAACATATGTTTAGATATTTGTATTGAAAAAGAAAAATACTGAGAAAGATTTTTTATTTAATTTTTTTGAAAGTCTTTTAAGACTTTCTGAGAGCCACAGAGACCCTAAGAAATTGGATCAAATCTTGAAAATGGGTTGTTCAAAAGAAAAAAGAAAAGGATTCTGAACTGGGCAGCCCTGAGGCACCTATGAAAGTAGATGCTGTGAAAGAGCCAGGACACCTGTGAAATCAGGCATTCTCGCCGTGCTTCAGCCAATAATCTGTGTTCAATCGACACCTAGTGCTTCGGAGGATAATAATGCTGCTTATGTTCTTTTTTAGAACGAATTCATAATGAAAATATAAAACAAGCGAAAATTCATACACTATATTACAAAAATAAAGAATCCCAAACCAGTGTCTTCTTAGAACATTTTATTTTTAGTATATTAACTGTGATAAAATGTCAACCAGTTAGAGTTTAGGTAGATTTACGGGACATTTCTGTATTTTTAAAAGTCAGATTTATGTGTAACAAACCATTTATGGAATATTGTGGCTGAACACTGAATAATCAATCCTGTTTCTCCAGTAATATTTTCAGCAATTGCAAAGTGTATTTATTGTATATTGTAGTACACTACGTGTATATTACTGCACATGGTGGGAATTTAAAGAGTGAATCCAGGTAAATTGGGCCTTTTTTTGTAAAACAGGCTATAATTTAAATACCTAGATTTTTTTTAACCTAGACTTTTTTTTGTGTGTTAACTTTAAGGTCCAGCTACAATATTTCAACCTACAGTTCATACATTGTGTCATTTGCTAGATATAACAACAAATGTTTTGAGATCATGCACTCCAGACAAATTTATTTTCAGGTAAAGTGGGCCATCCCTGATTTATCAAAAATTATCCTGTATCTTACTTAAAAAAACATATGATTTATGAACGAATATTATTTAACCAACATATCCAACAAACCTATATAACCTATGCTATGAGTAAAATTCATCAGTTCATTCAATTCATGTGTAAAATTCAAAACAACTGACAGTGATTAAATATTGTATTTATCTTATAAAACAATTGAAGAAGATAAATATCCCCACAAGGTCACAATTTACTAGTATTATATACTTGTGGGGACATTTGGTCCTTATAATGGGGAATACCATGTTACTGCAAATATCTAAAGAAATGTGCATGAAGGATGTTAAATGCATGCAGAGTTGCTCAAAAGAAAGAGAAAAAGCACTCAGCAAGGTAAACCCATTAACAGTCCTAGATATCAGTTTGCCAAGAGTTATGAAAAAAAGGGGGGGCATACACTGAAGTAGTAAAAGAAATATAGGAGTACGCTTATTTTAATAATGCCAATTCTGCCCCCTAATGATAGTGGAAGCAAATTACACCTCCCAGTCTTTCCTCAAATGATGTAGAAGCATCAGATAAAGAGAGATCAAAATTACTGTCATGATGTCTCATAATAATCTCTCATAGCCTCTGCTGTAAACTTATACACTGTATATTACAAAACAGTGTTGTGTACTTGAACACAAGTGTTTGGTCAGGGCTGGAGCTGAACTCTTCAGGAGCAGGACTGATGTTTGAGCTGAATTACATCTGTTCATCATGTAAAGTGACTGTGACTTATAAAGTGACAAGACTTAAACATTGGATTCATATGGATTCGTTTTATGACACCTTTATGACTTTTCTGGGTCTTCAAAGGTTGAGTTGCATGGAACTCATCTTAATCTGTTTTCACAAAAAACAAAACAAAAACAAAAACAGTAAATTACTGTTTTACCTTTTTCCTATTTCTCTTTCTCTCTCTTTTTCTATATATATAGAACACACACACACACACGCACACACACACACACACATGAAATCAGAAAGGACATTATAATGAAAGTGTATCCAAGTCAGAACAGCCTTACACAAATAAGCTTTTAGCTCACTAGAAAGCCTTTGCTTAAAAGTGTTAATCATAATGACTCTTTCAAAGCAAAAAGAAAGAAGTATTTGTATGCTGTTGCATACTAAAGCAATAAGCCCCGTGAAGCGGTTATAAATTCACTGTAAACCACGGCTTCACAGGGCTTATTGCTTTTATAAAACGGTTATTCCATACACGTAGTAAGGTTTCACAAAATAAAACAGAGCAAATAAAGTGTAATGATATTAATAAAAACAGTATTCTTCCACCAAACAATGTAGCTCCTCAGAAACAGTTGTGGTTGCTACAAAGTGGTTGCTGAGCAACACACAAACGTAAACAAAGGTGTATGTTTGTAGAGTAATTTACAACAGCTTCGAACGCAGCTCAGCCAATCAGAATCAAGCACCAGAACTCTACGGTTTATAAAATTGTATTTACTGCCATATTAAACCAGTTTTGAGGATTGGCTATTTGCTGCTTTTTTCATCTCTCATGTTACCATTTATGCTCCATGTTTACATAATGTATATCTTTGGGATGAAACATCACACAATTTCCCCACTTAGAACTGTATATACAGTAAGTACAAAGCATAGACTCTCTTGAGGGCTCTTCCTATATAAGCTTTACAAACACCTTCCCAGTGAGCTGGAAGACACACAGTTTATTAGGCTACAACAGAAATCATTTGAAGTATTTATAATTAAATACTTGTGATTTATTGAATATGATCGTTTAATGTAAATTAAACCTGTTAACCACTGTGGCACTGTTTTTAAAGGTGTCGTGTAGGCTGTTTACATCACTGAGTCTCTGAGGGCTGGACACTTGTTAGATTATATTTGCTAGAAGTTCTTCTGCTGGCAGATTGAGCTGAGGGACACAATCTGATTATGATTGTGTGATAGCCTACGCTTGGCATGTGTA